TATTTTGTTGTTGATTCGATTATTCATTATCTTGTAACATGCGAATTGATTTATCGGTTCATAAATTATGGATACGAGAATATCACTTTCACTGTACGATACTCAATTGTATACAAATTATTAATTTTGTTTAATTCTAATTTACAAGTTCAACTTTAAATTGGTTGTAATTAAAGAAAATAGGCAATGACAAGTTATGACTATTTAAATATATTCTGACAGCATAGCTACTGTCGCAAGATGCTCTCAGTAGACATGCATGTACTTGGGCCGTATATGAAAAAGTAATGCTTTTACACTGTCATCTTTCATAGTATATATTAATCCAGAAAGGCTAATCTGCTGTACTCGTGTGATTATTGCCTAAAGACTTTCTATCTACACACTGATGTCTAAATGCCTCCTAAGTACGCGTATGTTGATCGTAGACTGAATTTTATCCCATACTCGATGACAATTGAAAATGAGTTTTAATCTATGCATTTAAATACCTGTTCATAATCTTGATGCAAAGCATTTGTTAATGCAAAAATGGAGAAGATTAGGGCCAGTATTATCTTCATAAAGCTCTTCATCTGTCTTGTTGGCTATTTGCTTATTTAATTTGGAAGGAATGTGTAACAATTAAGTAATTTAATGTGGTCCATAATGAAAATAGAAGTTAGTATTGATTATAGTCATTATCCATTCTGTATACTACGCCAGCTGGGCTTAATCTCCCGGTCAATTATCATGAATAACTAGTTTACTTGGTGAACGTTCCCAATTCCGATACACTAACGTAAAAATCTTAGCTATCAAAAGATGTTGAAGCTAACCGATATTATGGAATTTTAAGGCATTAATTAATGTACTGTATAGCTTATTTAATATCCTCTATAAATCGATCGAGTGGTTGATCGTATATCAGTCTACAGTATTGTCAAGTAATCCAATAAATAACGATTCACTTGATTTGTATACAACTTTATTTATGATTCCACGAATGATGGGGGGAAAAAATAGAATAATTCGTTTGATTTATAATTTACTTTCATTTACCTGCGAGTTCTCTGGTCGATAAGTGGTTCTATCGTTTGTTAGCACATTGAAAATGGTTATCCTAATTGCCTGTGTCAACGTCTCCTATCAACCTAATCAGGAAGTTTTTTTTTTGGCTATGCCTCTATAGCAGCAGTGAGCCTTTCGCTGGAACTTCCCAAACGGAATCGTTCGTGATCTATGGTGGTGCTATGGCAACGCCGTTCCCTACTGCTGTACAGTGTACAGTCTCATGTTTCATTCTACCGTACAATATTACCGTGTACAGGACTGTACAGTATGGATCAAATGGATAAGAGATGACGATTTTGCTAGTCATTTTAACTGTAGTGTACGTCTGTCACCATACATTGTACTGTTCACGAGTGCATATAGGCATAAGCTGCTTGGATACACTGCGATGTATGGTTGCAGTCTGCCGGTATAGTAAACTAAGCAATAAAAAAAGTTAGCCTACAGTCTCTCTCTTTTATTGACTGTAATTTTTATAAGTTCCTATGATGTACTATAATAATGTACAATACTTGGACATAGGACTACTAGTAGTCGTTGGTGCATCTTACTATATCCAATCAACTTGAATGATGTACTTGGACGTCGGTTCTTCTTTTCCAGGATCTCTGTAGACATTGTCATGAACTGCTAGCCTCGGACAGACAGACTTTTCTGATTCAATGAAGCTGTCATGATCGAAATTGGCTTCCTCTTAGTATAGATCTTCGGTGTCTGCTTTGTAAATCGCTGGTACAAATTTCAATAGCGTCTATGATGTTATAGAAGTGTTTTCAAGCGTAACTTTGTAGCAAACAATAAGATTGAATGTAATATTACTCAATTTAGAAGAAATCAATCCATTGAAAATCGACCATCTACAGTACTGCTATAAAGACTGCAATCGCACATCTTCCTACAGTACTGTACTGTACTGTACAGTACAGTGTACACTGCTACAGTACTGAGTACAGCTGGCGTCAATCATTTCTACTGTACTGTACTGTACAGTACTCTGTACTCCAACCACAGAGGTACTGTACAGTATACTGTAGTACTGTACTGTACAGTGTACACTACTACAGTACTGAGTACAGCTGGCGTCAATCAGTTCTACTGTACTGTACAGTACTCTGTACTGTACTCCAACGGGTAAGAAACCAGTATGACTCGAATTCATTGACAGTACAGTACAGTACAGGTCTGTTGAAAACTGATGTCATGGTTCCCAGTAGAGACCCTTTAATAGAGATCTCTGCAGGTTCTCTAGTTCCCAAGCTTCGGATATAGCAGATACTGTACAGCTAAATCTTGGCACTGTAGTCGGACGGACTCCCAAATGACACTGTGATGAGTTACTGTACTGTATACCGTAATAACGTTGGCAACTGATACAGTACAGTACAGTACTGTACAGTATGTCAGTTATCAGCCTTATACAGTACTATAACTTTTAGTTGCATCCTTTGTCTGTCCGTCCGGTCACAGTGCAAAGATTGATCTGTACAGTACACTAGTGTACACTGTACTGTAGAGTACTGTACTGTACAGTACAGTACAGCAGTCTAAAAGCTGTTAAAATCTGAAAATACTGTACAGTACAGTACAGTACAGTACTGTATGCTCAACTTAAACTGAGTACTGTACTGTACCGTCCGTGTACTGTACTGCACTTGCGCCTATTGTGAACATGCTTGAATGATAACAATAGGCGCATTGATCAGTCTGATACAAAGTACAGTAATCGTTCGCGCGTTCGCTACAGTACAGTACAGTACTGTACTGTACACACATGAAATGAGGACGTGGCAGTCTGTAGGTCAGAACGTCAATCCACCTTCTCAAACAGTATTCGATGTACTATGCTTGTCTAGAGTAGCATCAAGTCCTCAACGGATTAGCTAGCCAAGCTGCAAATTGACATTTCAAACCTATTGAATCCAGTACTGACAGCAATACCCTATACTGTACACTTCCAAGGAGAGGAATGTACTGTACACAATCCAACACTCAGTAGTCCAGTGAATTGAAAGCAGTTTTTTCCCCCCCCCCCTAAAATGAAAATTTCACTGGAAAAAAAAAGAGCTTAAACTCCTTCAATGACTTTCCTTATTCTGCTATTGAAGCTGTAAAATCGACTAGTAGATCATTGAAAGCTCAATTTTATCGCCATTACTAGATATACACAGTGTAGAGAAACGAGGATATATCGTATCAAGTCCACAATAGCCTACAGTGACTGTCTACAAGAGCATCAATCAATCAATGTAGTGATGGCAAATGCAAAACCAGCTACCCTTGTGTCTATGGTGGAAAATAAAATTCCTCGTACTGATGACAACGAAAATAAAAATGTCCAGTTGGTAAGTTAAAACTACAATTGGATAGATAGGTAGGCACTGCTGTACATCAAAACTGACCGTTATTGACTACAAGTATAGCTATCGTGATAGGAATAACAAGAATAACTTGAACTATTCTTCATTTCTATATTGTTGAAATGACCCCCCCCTTTTCCCCCAAAATTGCAAAAATACATCTCCAATATGGAAATCAATAGGAAGAATACCTTACGGTATGCCATGACAAATTTCCTACTTGTGTGGAACTTCGTTTCTTCAAACTTGGATCAGCCAATGCTTGGCTATTTTGTGTAGTTTTCATAGCCGCAACCAACTCAACTTTACCTTCGCAACGCATCAAGCGAATAGTGAGCAGTGCAATTGATGTTCAAACTGAATTACATCTACATTACTGACAGGATGTAGACTATTTTTCCAAGGTATCAATGCATACCAATGATTGTAATGTAGTTGCAAAGAATGATATACCTGAAATAATAACCCAACTTTTACCATACTATTGAGAATGAATGCATTCTACTAGTGCACGATAGTTGAATTCTACTGTACACGGAGACAATCTGACAAGAAATGACCCAAAATGGTTTCATTAATTAATTAATTAATGACTCGTATTCCGCCAACTTTCTCACCTTAATAATGTGCAAATGAATCAGTTGCGTTTGCATGAAAATCCATTGCTCATTCGTGAACAAATGAAGAAAGACCAAGTTGCAATGGAAAGAAATGCACTACTTGAAAGACACGTAGAAAATACTTCTTAACCCTAAATAAGACATGTCTTGCCCCTCCTGTTGAGAAGAACGTAGTTGGCAAGAGTTAAATAGATGTATTCTCTGTTGATTGATTCAACAATAGCACTGTATATTGTAGAATTGCGCAATTTCCAATCAAAGTGTTATGGCCTACTCATTGCGACTTCAAGAATGAATACCCCTCAAATAACAACCTACATATTTCTGAGATATTGAACACACTATTTGTCTGTCCATTGATTAAATCCAACTATTTTTTAGTCTTACCAGCAGTTTGATCGATCATAATTATAATGAATAGAAGCTACATTACATCTCGATACATTGTAATACGCGTACGTCTATCAATAGATATCTTCTCATAGGTCTACCAAATCCCAGTCCTGTGTAGAATGATATCTTTCTGTCGAACTACCTTTACAGTCAGTAACACCATCGTTTAAATTTTTACATTTGCAACTACATACTAATATAGCACAAGATCATTACAGTAGCCGTTAGCCTACACTTTAAAGAATTATATAATCAACAATGGAACTGCAGTTCGCACTATCCTTTCGAAATAAATTCCTACCTCAAATTTGGCTAACTTCAAATACACTGTAAATCCATTCAAATTAGATTCTGATGTTCTGTTAGCTGTTAGTCTACCAATTCTGTGACATCGGCAATTTTTCATCCAATTAACTCATGAATCAATAATCATGCATGACTCTTTTAGCACACCGAAAACACGGTATAAACTATTGTTACGCATATTATATTACTTGATTAACCCAGCCTGTAGAGATCATCTCTACCATCATAGAATGCTCACATTAATGTTTGCTCTACAGTACCAATAATCATATTAATTTACTTAAAGTCATTAATTATAGTATACGTTAATATAGATTCAATTAACTAACAAAAATTTTATTTCTTATAGGATTTAAATCATGTTTTTCAAAAATACCTCCACATTCTCTGCAGTCATCAAGAGAGCAGGTAAATAAAATGGATCTTAATTAACCCACATGATACAGTATTAAATTAATAGAATCTACCCAACGCAAAATGTCATTGTCAAAAAAAATCAATAAAATCCTGTTGTTTAACCTATGGCGAAGGACGATAATCCTTATGTAATCTGTAGTGTATAAGATGCTAGCTAGATTACATTATTAATTGGGAAATAACGCCTTTAGATCATAACTTTAAAATTTCTTCCGATAGAAAAACTTTAACTTTGTATTGACTCAGAGAAGTCCACTTTGCTTACAGCCAGTGCTGTAATGTATTCAATCTGCAATTTTAATATGTATTAGCGTTAAACATTTGCCTAGCCTACCTATAACACAGTACAGATCTACATTTATTTTCTAGTCGCAATTAAAAAGATTTTCATCACCATTGATTTATGAGCCACATTACTAAATTAATAAGTTAAGTTAAGTTAGAGTCAGGTATTACTACTGCAATAGTTTATCTTATTTGATCAGCTTACAGTAGTGTTCTTTAGAGTAATGATCTTCACTATGGCGAATTAGTGCTAACACTTCGTATCAGCATGCAATTACCTTAGTTCATCGAAGCTAATCATGCCAAGGTGTCAACCTATATTGTTATTTTGATAGTTCCGCTGCTGTAAATGAAATGGAAGTTACGTCCAACGATTTGTCAACACCTTTATCACGAAAGTAAGTCCATTGAATTGATGTTATTTATTGCGAAAAGTAGCACCAGCTAATAGTTTTCAAATATAGAAATTAATGCAGCCGTAGCTAAATATTAATAATGCTTTCAAGTTGATTCCAAGAATATTATAATTAACGGTCTCTATATTCAAAATCGAAGGGGCTTCGCTGTTTCGGATATTTTACAACGTATGGTATCGATTGTCAGCCACCCAGATAGGTACTAATATTACTATTTATTCATAAATTTCATGTACTGTACATTGTCAGAACTTTATCTTCAATTTTTGTTAAAGAACGTATTGCTTATAGCTGTACTAGAATTTCCTTACCTTCAATTGTACAAATTAAAAGATTATAAAATAGATAGCATTAGTTAACGTTGTTTTTAACCACTACCATGATCAAGTCTAACAAATTAGTCTATGAATGTTTTACACTCTTTACAGCCCCTTACCTCACGGACTAGAATTTAATGATATCGGACATCTAGCCGTCTTATCGAGAGGCCTGGCTTGCTATCTAGCCTCGGTATTAGACAAAAATCAATTAACTAAATTAGCCAACCGAACTACAATAGATACAAACATGTGGCTTTCAAAGATTTTTAGGTATAAATTCCTAATTTTAAAGGCCAAACTTTATTTTTTCATGATAGTAAAATTGAAAGGCTACATTTTACTTGAAATTCATGCATATAGGTATGAGAAAGGGGCATTATATTTCCATGAAGAAGCTGGTGATGGTCTTATTAAAGGTTATTTTTGTTAAGTTTTTCCAATATAGTAACTTTTTACATAGTTTTCTGATGCAAATGTGATACATTTGGTTTTATTCCTATGGCAAAATTAAATAATACTTATATGCATTACCATCATAAGCTGAATTAGGCCGTATTAACACATTTTTTTATTAGTCGGTCGACTGACGTTACTAACAAAATGCCCCAAATTTCAAAGCGAAGGATTTCATGCGTTATATGCAAGGTAAGTTAATTATTTTTAATTATTTAACAATTCAAGACAATAGCTCCTATACTTTACTACGGCGCTAGAGGAAACTTTTTACTAGTGAAAAAAAGCATAAAAATGTTGCATTACTGTACATGCGTATATAGATACTATTTCTTACGTTAAATAAAAGTACACTAACCCTATCTCAACACTCCATCATAAGAAACGAGATAGTACCTTGTATAGTTTTTGTACTGACTTTAACGTATTTCTTCGTACTATTGTATCTAATTACAGCATATTCAATATTAAATTCTGTTACACATCGTTCACAGACATTGAAATAATCGTTTAAAATTTGCTCAGGGATTTACGAATATGAAATATATAACTTAATAATGATAATCATTTTTTAAATATTATGTAGACCTCCAGTAATTTACATCAGCTCAGCGGCACCTGCTAGCCTAGGCAAATATCTATGTAGTCAGGTTGTATCCGTATACAATTTAAATACCTGTAATCCTTAAGTTAGCACACTTCATACTAACTTTATAAAATTACATAATCCGTAGCTTGGTTTGCCCTATTCCTGTCTTAGTATCGTTCCCTGTGTTGCATCGTCTAGTACTTTTGACGAAACAATGGTATTTCAATTAATACTTGCATACACGCAATTTATGTGAATCTTAAAAAATTATTTTACATACTTGAACTTAAACTACATTAACATAGGATCTAGCTTCATTAGAGAGATCGCTTAATGAAGATGTTGCCTGCGGTAAAACTCCGCTACTATTAATCGCTTAT